AATTTTAAAAAGAAAGAAATATAGACTCTTGTTGTATAAAGGATGAAGGAGTTTGTTTTATTTTCCAAATCTATTTTAAACTCCTTTCTTTCTTTATTATTTTTTGTCTTTTTAGAAGTGATCTTACAGGACTGAGGTTCTATCTCTTACTCCAAAATACATTTAATAAGAAAATAATTTAAGACTACAGATAAGAACAGAAGGTAATTCAGACACTATACTCTCATCTGCCATATCTAGAAAATTCTGCTCTATTCAACCAGATTTTTAAAATATGCTTATTTGGATTTGACGTGCCAATATTGTTTTGAAATTTTGGTATTTAAATAATTGGTATTTAAATAATTTGGTATTTAAATAATTACCCTATAGTTCTACTTTTTTAGTATATATGAGATTTTGCCATCAATATTATACTAGCCTGCTAAAATAGGCTATGCAACTTTTCTCTTTTTTTTTGTTCTTTAGAATGTTTTGCAGTGCTGGAAATTTTGGTAAATTTTGTTATTTTATTGTAGGTAAATTATGAGATACTGATTTGAATCATTTAATTGTTTAATAAACTCGTTTACATTTGTTTGGACTAACTTTTGGTATAGATGCTTGTCTACTTCATTTAGGTATTTACATTTATTTGAATAAGTTGCTTATGTATTCTGGTACATTCATGTTCAGATTAAAATCTACACGATATCTATAGTTATCATCCTCATTTCATTTCTAATCCTCTTTGTATATGTCATCTCTCTTTGTTTACTTAATTATTCCTGTCTTTTCTATTTATTTGCCTGTTTATTCCGAGAACTAGCTTTCTGCTTTGTCAACCTTGGCTAATGTTTTCTTTCCCTACATCATTAATTTCTGCTTTTATTTTTATTCCTTTTATTGTACTTTTTTAAACTTCTTGAACATAAACCTTAGATAATTAGTTTCAGTTCCTACCCTTTACTAAGATCTGTATGCAAAGCTATATGTTTTCTGAGGGGCTCCTTTATGTTTATTCCATACATTTATGAAGCTTCATTTTGATTCTGCTAAGTACTTTGTAATTTCCTTTTTTCAAATTAAATTATTGTTTTATTTGTACATGTCTGAAATAAATAATTATGATATTTGTTGTAGGGAGTTGGTACATGTACCTAGTACATCTTAATTCTTTTTATGCACCCCACCCTTCTTTCTTTTTGTTAAAGATCTATCTCCATGTTTCCTACTGTTTATTATTTTGCTCTTTAATTTATTTATACTTTGGTATTCTCACATACGAAATCCTGTGTGATATTTAAACTTTTTTTTTGTGATATTTAAACTTGTGCATGAGATTTATTTTCAAATTACGTTTTTCTTTGACTCCAATTATCTTGAAGTGTGTTTTTAATTTTAATACTGATTTTTGGCAGTATTTTTGCTTCTCTTTCTAATTGTATTGCCTTTTGATTGCAGAACATAGCATAGGTGCCATTGGATCATTAGGATTTGGAAATACTCGGTTTGTGCTCTAGTGTGTGGCCTCTTTTTTAAGTTTTGTGAGTGCTTTATTCAATGGTGCATGTAAAATTAAATTTCTAGTGGTCATAAAGTTCTACAAGGCCATTAAATCAATGCTTATGCTACTTTTCAAATCTGCATGGTGACATTTCTTTGCTTAACCCATCAATTTTTAAGAGACATAGTAAAATCTATCACTATGGATACAGAAATTGTCTCATTCTGATATGTCTGTCATTATTTATTTGGGGGCTTTGTTATTAGGACCTTTCATATTCACTACTTTTTAATTGTCCTGCTAACTTGTTTTTTTATTCTATTGTGATGACTCTCTGTGCCAAATATCTCCTTTTAAACATGTTAAGCCTTTTTGCTACAGCAGCTTTCTTCCTGTCAGTTTCACTGCTCTCCTGGTTCTCATCACTCCTGATCATTCCTTCTGCACCTTACGAGTTAGCAATATTTGGTGTAAGTCATACACAGATGACTGTCTTTATGAAGCATTATTAATTCAACACAACAATCATTACCTAATTGTCAATTTAAATTTGTTTTGCAGTTTATTATGGAGACAATTTGAAGCTAAGATAGTTGCTACTCACCACACATGTTAAGTGCCTTCCAGTTCCCCAACCTCACTTACAGTTATGTTGGACACATGACTAATTTTGGTCAGCTAGACTCAGACAAGGCACGGCTCAGGCCACACAAGACAACATGTAAGAGCTGGCATGTTTCCTTTTTCTTTGTCTTTGCAGGACAATTGGGGCAGCTATACAGTATGGTGTAACTATAACATGGACAAGGGTTGTGTGATGCGTCTTGAGTGGTGATGTGAGACATAAACTTCAATTGTGCTCAGCCTCTGAAATTTCATGAGTTATTTCTGAGGCAACTACTAATAGTTATCTTGAATTCTGTATTTGGATTTAATTACATCATATTTGAAATTTATATCTACAATGGGTTACTGTTATTTTTTGCCTTTCATAGAATTAATTGAAAATTCTCCACTTTTTTACTCTGTGTATATGGAATATAGAACTTTTATGATGGTTAATATTAGATGACAAAATTATGGAACTATGGTATCCAGGTTTTGGTCAAGCACCAGTCAAGGAATTGCTGTGATGATATCTTTTACATGTAATACACTAACAGGAAAATAGTGTCAGCTTTTTTTTCAATAATGCCTGATTTGTTAAAATAATATTTCTATGTAAACCAATAGTTAATACTCTGCATAAGAATATTCTTACAAATTTAAATTATATATAGCCTTCTCTTATAAAAGTTCAAGTTCTCATATTTTCCTTTCAATTTTATTCTTAACAATCTGTGTGTGTTAATAGGTAGACTTCAGTAAATCTTAAACCAGGAAGTTGCTTTTAAAATGAAGTCACAATTATGTCTACAGGTTGTTTCTACCATTCATTTGTTTCTTGTCCTACAGTATTTCCAATAATTTATTTTGTCTTCTCTGTTCTCTTTATACTGGAAATGTGTTACTTATTGATTATATAATAGTTTTTTTGCTCTGAAAATGCACACTTTATTTCTTTAATTTTTCTTTCCAACTCATTGCAAATATTTTCTTTTCTTCCTAGGGGCAGGCTCAAATGAGTAGGGGACTCATCTATACTGCTATTTTGACTTCTTTCATAAATAATAATTTTATTGCATTCTTGTGTACTTAACTATAACTCTAATAACAATACTAGATCTCATACTCAATGTTTGGCAAGTATATTTCTTTTCTAGAAAATTCTAGCTGTATGATAATGACCGCTTAAGATTAAAGTGTAATTTATTCTGCTCATGAAACATACTCCAATAAACTTTCTGGGATAGATGAGTCTTTTTAAATTTGCTGATAGCCATTTAATAAATCAATGATTCTCTGTAGCATCTATCTTGTACTTTTTCAGACATTTAATTATTTTTACATGGCTTGTGGAAAGAGGAAGGGAATAATAATAAGTGGGGACAAGTTAGAATACATGACACCTCATCATAGATTGGTTAGCTTATCAGGCTTAAGCAGCAATGGTAAGGAGAAGTAAGTACACATTTCATTTCAGTAAAAACTGAGGGTTTCCTACATATAAAGTGATAACACCAAGTGTGGGTGAAATTAAATAGGCCTTTAACACAAAATGTTAGAAGGCATCTATAAGCAGGAAGCCATGACAAGAGCAAGATTTTTATTTACACAAAAGATTGCAAATGGGCATAAAATGCGTCAGTTGTAATGAAATTCATTCATTCATGAATGCTCACTCGTCAACAGACCTTAGGCTATGTGCATCCAATAAAACACAGATTGGTTGAAAATGGTGAACCTGAGGAATTAAAGTCTTTAAAAAGAATGCTATCAATAAAAATCAGTAAAATTTAGGTTATATTTTTAAAAAGTTTCATTTTGCAAAGATAACTGAACATAGGAAACATCTTGCAATGATAATCACTATTTGGAATGAGAAATAAATAGAACATATGGCATTGGCTGAACTCATTACAGAGAAAACGCAAAGAGTGGTACTTATTGGTAGGATGTGGTATCTTCATTAAGATCACAGAATAACCCTCCTGTGACTGTGGTAATTATCTCTAATATTTCTGAGTTCCAAGATAATATTTTTACTCAATTTCAAAGCGAACACTGATCTTTCTTCGACAATATTATTTATGTATATGCCATTCACAATCAAATATTCAATCAGGGTTTCTTTTCCCTCCACATTTTTGATGCATTTGGAAATTGCACGTGAAGGAAAGGGGTAAATAAATGCTATTTATGACCATTTTAAATAAAAATATGCTTCTTGCAAGGTGTTTCTTAACCTAAAATAGTATTACCTAGATGTACCTGTCGATTTATTTACAAAATATTTCCTTGTGTGTAAAGGATAAAATTTATCATTATTGATGATACTCAAATAAGGGGGTATAAATGGATACCTCCAAGCTCTAAAATGTTAGTTCTGAATATATTTTGAACACTGACCACAGCCATAGGTTGAATTTTTCAATTAAATATAATGTAAATAGTTTTAAAGTATATGATTTGATGTTATTTGGTAAAAAGTGCACTTGTTGGTCAAACTTTATATTCAGTTGTGTGTGTTTGTAGGCCATGATATTCATTTTCAAGATTTCTTTTTAAACTGATGACATTTGGAATAACAGTGATAAATTTCTCTGTCTGGAGAGTTCTACTTGCCTGTTTTTGTCTTGTGAATGGATGGCACAAATGTGCTTGGCATTTGTGATAATTTCAAGATATTGACAATGATGAGTGGATGCCAGAGAAAAGAATTCTGCTATGATTGCAGCCCACTGAGAATTTATTTTGTATGAAATTTAAAAGAAGCCTTCACAAACATTTCAAGACAAGCATCCTAATTTACTAGGTTTTTCTAAGAACTTACATAAGGTTGCAAAACTTAGTTTCAGAATGTAGTGAAAAATGTTGATCTTCATTTTAATACTGAAGGTCATTTAGTTCTTACCAGTTGCATAGTTTCATTTGCAAGACCTCTGGCTTCCATGGCAACTTTTTCAGCTTCGTCAATGTAGTTCTTAATGTTGCTGTAAGCATTGAAGGCCGCAGTGGCATTGAAGGAGATGTTCTTAGCCTCACCAAGGATCCTGTCGGAACAACCCAGAAAAGCAAAACCAGAGGAGTCAGCACCCACATGAGGGTCATCCTAGCAATAATAAACATGGCTTCCAAATGACCACGGCCAGTGTGAGAATTCCTACTGAACGGTATTGTGGTATGATTTCTCATTTAAACACGTATTTCCAAACAATTCAGCTATGAAATCTTCCCAACAGGTTTTAAACATCCATAGTGTCCTCCAGAAGCCCTAGCAGCCACATGCAGCAAGCAAGTGATGACCTTTCACATAGTTTTTGAAAGATTCAGTAAGTTTCAGAGCACTGGCACCACACGGAATGAATTTTGCGAAATCTCTCTGGGGTCAGTGAACATCCCCCAGAGGAAGATAAAGAAAGCTCAGAATGTTGAATGGCTTGCTTCAGGTCACATGACTAACACATCCCTAACTGACTAACGGAGGACTTAGGACCCCAGTCTGCTAGCTCCTGGCTTACTCTTCCATCTCCTAGCCTTTAATGTAAATTGGCAAAAATCTGATATAAAATGAGCAATTGTACATGTAATGTCTATGGATTTCAAACAATATTTTGCTTCATATCAATGAGTATTAAGTGTGGAAACAAAGGCCATCATATGATGTATTTTAAATGTAGATTCATTTGAGAAAGTTCTTTTTTACACAGAGACCTGGTGTACCAATTACCTCCATCACAAAATTGTAGTGCAACATATCAGTTATGGCTATAGGGCTATTTATAAGCCACACGGCTCTTCCCACTTTCCCTCATTTCTTCAGACCCACTTGCTATATTGAACAGCTGTAGTCAGTGGTTATTTCACAGGGGAGGGTACAGTATCTTCCTGGAGTTTTAAAGAGGGAGAAAGCACATTGAAAGGCTACGTAGAGGGGCGCATTTTCAAAAGGTACCTTTTAACAATAAACTGTTTTGATTCCACTGGAAACATAGAACTGAAATTTGCAGCAGAACATGTGCTTATATATTATTATTTAAAATGCTAATAAGACAACTGGTGTGCTTTCTAATAAAGAACAAAAAACCATTTTCTAAGTGTTGCCTAAGGCTGTGTTCACTGCCTAACAAGCCATATTTGAATCCACTTTTAACTCCCACTTTTGATACTTCTCCAGCAGAACTTTGCCAACACTCTCCTAATTAGGAAACTCCCCAGAAAGGCCATGTCGTTCTTTTATTCATAATTACAGAAATCAAAACTTGAAAGTGATTCTCTACTCTTTATGCCTGTCACAACTTTCAGATAAGTGTCAAGATACATAGACATTTCCAACAACAAATGAGATACCCGTCAAGGATGGCGGACGAGTCATTCAACTGAGCCGCGTGTCTCTCAGCTTCGGACACCTTCTCAGCAAGCTTCCTGTCCTTGATTTCTTGGGAGAGTTCATCTATTTTATCTGTAAGCTCCTCTGACATTGGTGGTAATTTAGTCTGAATGTCTTCAACATACTGATGTGTACACAGAAGAGAAAGCATCTTAAGAAGGTCTCTTTGAATTTACTAATTTCTCTGAGGCACAACGACATATACTTAGTATTTCCATGAAGCCTAAACTCTTATAGCACAGCAACAAGAGCATAGAGAAGAAAAGTTGTTATTCTATAGAAAAGATTAGGAACTTGAAGAAGCCAATGTATACCAAGGAGGATCTATCTTTTCACAACGTGTTGCTTTATAACTATAAAAGTATAAATGAGTCATTAGGATCTTTTAGACCATTTGCATTTCTGTTATGATACACCACTGTGTAGTGCATTAGACAGCATATGAAATGTCTGCTTATAGGTTTACATTTTTGGTTTAGTTAATGTTATATAATGCTTAAACAGATCACAAATGCTGCTCTAGGAATAAGGAAAATTCCTTATCACTGTGAAAAAGTAAAGCTCAGGTTGCATGAGTGTGAGGACCCGTATACAAATATGCATGTCTGTCAAGAGAATAACATGAAATTCTGTTATCAATAGGTGGACACACTCATAAAAGAATAGCACAAAAATTTGACTGCCACACAGAACACATATTAGAATTTGTTTATATTACAGAAATCTCTCCTTTCCAACTTATGAGAACCTAGGGCATTGTTGTCCCGCTTTTAACTCCGAATTTTGTCAAATACTCACTGCTATGATGGAGTTGATTTCATCTGCGAGGCGGTTGGCTTCACCAAGTATGTCATTGCCTTCTTTTAAAGTGTTCTCAATTTGTCGTCTGCCACTTTCTATGGCCTCCTTCTTTTTCTACAGCACAGGAAGAACAAGACATAACAATGCCATGTGGGTAGAACCATCCAGCTTTCTTTCACAGTCTTTACTGAGTTATCTGGACAGCTCCACAAACAAGGTACTTAGAGCTGCAATGTGACTAGATGAGAAAGTATAAACTCCTCTGCTAGCCCCCCAATAGTTGTTCTATTCTGAGCCCCTGCAGGTAATTTCTTCATTCCATTTGAGAAAGTCATCCGAGCAAAGAAAAGTAATGTGAGAGTAGTTAAGGAGTTAAAATTATTTTTAAAGCAAGCTGGAACATCCATTTTTAACTACAATGTGAGTGCTGAATATGTATTCCTGAACACTTGGTAGTAACCAAATTATAATGAAACTACATATGGAATTCCAGAATCTATATACAAATGACTACCTTAAAAGCCTAAACAGAAGCATATTTATTCTACGGAGATTCTGTAAAATTCAAAGAAGTAGGATTGTTAAGGGAACTCAGGGGAAATACTTTTCAAGGAAAAGAGAAACTATCACCTTGGAGGACAAACCTAATGGACTGTTTCGTAAGACAGCAGACTCTAACTTTTCTTTGGAACTTACAGGTTGTTTCAAAATTAGATGAAATTCATTCCTGGCTTAGGAGGAAATCGATGCAGGGGAAATTCTGCCATTCTCCATCTGGAGTATACCTTTGTGTGTCATTCTCTTTGCACTTCTGATGCACTCATATTCTTTTAGTCACTGTTTTACCTATAGGTTTAACTGTATCGACTAAAATTTAAGCTTAGGTCATTTTTGTTTTTTCCATAAATAATCATGGTAGTTTATATTTATTCAGATCTCAGTATGTGGCAGGCAGTTTATAAACTTGATTCATTTAATTCTAATCCTTCCTGCCCTGTCTTGTCATCTTTTAAGTAAGTAGAACATTGAACAAATGATATGGTCTGAATGTTTGGGTCCTCCAAAATTGGTACATAGAGATGCTGACATCCCATGTGTTAGTACTCAAAAGTGGGCCCTTTGGAAGATGGTGAGATCATGGGGCAGAAAATTCATAAATGGAATCAGTGCCACTGTAAGGGGCTTCGGAGTGCGTTTGTTCCCTTCTTCTGTGTGAGGACACAGCAAAGTGATAGCGCTGGTGAGCCAGAAGGCAGCTCCTCACCAAGTTGCAAGAGAGCAACTTGCCAGCTCCTTTATCTTGGATTTCCAAGATTCCAGAACTCTTGGAAATAAGTTTATTTTGTTTATCAACCACCGGATTTTTTATTTTGTTACTGCACTCCACGCGAACTAATACATTGATACATCCAATGTCACATAGTACAGTGCAGTAAGACGTGAACACATTCTACCTAAAGATAGATCTTGGGTGCTAGACTGCAAAAGGAGTGTCTTTCCTGTCATAGAAATTGCACATTTTATTTGCACTGGGACAGTGCTAATTGTATAACTTCCTTTCTTGACCTTTTCACCAAGCACTGTGAGAAGCTGCCAAGTGTGTATCCCTCACTGCCTCTGAGCCTTATCATCGGGAGTTTTCTGTTCCTTGTGCCCTTCTGCAGTTCTCGACCTGCTTTATCCTTCCTTCTCCTGCTTCTGGTCATTCCTCGACAGTCTATACATGCATCTGCATTCCAATCATTCTCTGCATGGACGGCACAGTGATTCAAAGCTGCGTTCAAGTAACGGCCTGGTGGGATGGAATCCCTGCTCTGAAATCTGTGAAGTCTTGAGCAAGTAAATCAGCACCATGGAAGATGCTTACTTCCTCCCTGCACAAAGCGTGACCCATTTCCCACAGCACGGGAGCCACCCAGAAGCTTGTTAGAAATCCACAATCTTGGTCCTTCCTGGGGGAACTACTGACTCAGAATCTGCATTTCAGCAAGGACCTCGGGTGACTGATGTGCCCTGAGAGAGTAGAGAAGATCTGGCTTACAACACTGCCTGGCACACACTGACACTACGTAATTGTTAAGTCTTGTGCCAATTACTCTGTTCTTGCTCCTAACACTGACTTATCTGAATTATATTCTACAGGGCAGTGGTGATAAACCTATGGCACAGGTACCACAGTGGGTTGCTGGTATCATTGAAAGCTCTAAAAGGTTTGCCACTACTGCTATAGGGTGCCCATAAATTATAGAAACATAGAAACTGAGTTTAAAAAAATATATAGATTGAACCATCCTGATTACTTCTTTTGGGGTTTCTAAAGGCACAAATTATTTAACGAACACGAAGATAATGCAACATCACAGACGCTGAACTCCAGGGAGCAGCAGAAAGCCGCAGTGTCCTGAACTCCTCACTGCAGGTGAAGAACGCACCAGAGGATGTAACATGCAACATCACAGAGCGGCTCATATGCTATATATCAAGAAGTCACATCTTGTGTAAGTCAACAGGCTCTTCCAGACTTTCTGGCCGTATATATGCCCATCTATTGTTGTGGTGAGTATTTCCTGTATTTCCACACAAATTCCATGAAAGCAGCCTTATATATCTGCATAACTCCATTAATTAGAATAGTTTCCTTGATAAATAATTTTGAGTGAATAAATGAAAATGATGTGCATTCCTCGGAATTGGGCTGGTGACATTTGGCTCCCTGAGCCCCTCTTATCACTGGCTAATTCAGAAGTTCTGATTGACTATGCCCTCTTCCCAAAAAGGGTGGGGGTGTCCCATTGTTCCCAATTTCAAGTCATAACTTTTCTTCTGTGGGCCTGATCCTCTTACATAATTGCTGATTATAGTCCTTCACTTTTGTATGGACTGATTTAAAGTTACATTATGTACAGAAGTTCTAGTCGTTTTTGTTCACGTTTCTTCCAACATGGCTTGTTTGTAGGGGGTACAACAATGAATTGAGGTAGTTGATACAATGTATCAAGGTAATTTAAAATACTATAGCAGAGCTGAAGATATAGTTCAGTGGCAGAGCACTTGTCTAGCATGTCCAAGGCTCTAGGTTGGATCCCTAGCATTGGAAAAATAAAATAATAAAATATTCAACCTTGAGAAGAAGGATAAAATTTTTACATGTGTTGAGTGAAGAGCTAGACTTACATTTGTTTCCATAAGCTAGTGAGTTATCTCTTAGAAAGCTCCAATTGAGTCGCTTTAGGGAGTTGATTTTCATGCAAAGATGAAAATGTGTTGTTCATTATATTTAAGCAGAAATGATGACTTAAGATTAAAGAGATTTTAGAGGTGTCTAATTTCAGGTTAGATACTGATGGACTCTAACTTTGAAATGAGGAAAGATATAGATTTGAAATTCCCAAATATGAATGAAAGTGTAGAGATAATATTTATTTGTGTTTGCCTTATGATATTTTAACTTTCGCATCAAAATATCTGTTTTGCCTTTTCTCAGACACTACTTTAGGCTTTGAGGATAGCTGGAAAGAAGGCATGTTCTTCATGACATCTCTGGAAGAAGAGGAAGAGGAGGAAGGAGAAAATGAATAAGTGAACTAATGCATATTTGAGGTAACGTTGAAACAAGTACTCTAAAAATGAAATAAAAAAGGAATGCTAGAGAATGATGCAGAATATAAAATACTTCAGACATGAAGCTTAGCGTGTTTGAGGAACAAATAGGGAAGCTCCTATATAGGGAGAATTATTCTTCAAAATACACCACAAACATAATTGCTAGACCATTCTCTTGGGATAACAAAGTTGATCATATTTCTACTTTTATCTTATAATTAAGTAGACCTTAATTGATTCCAGAGTGCTATAAGCTGAACATGCCCCTTTTCTTTTGCTGTAGTTGGAGGATGGTGGCTTTTTCAGGAACCTGAGAAAAGGATCTTTCTTTCTATCCTTTGGCAACTTACCCTTCTCTTCCTTTACAAACCTTCTGTAACAAGGTTATAAGGGTAGACTGCAACAGATGGTCCAATACACATGCTTTGCTTGGATCTCATCCCTTCTCTTTCTGCCTGGCAGGACCCCGGTTTTCTCTCCATCACTGGAAATGTCCTTCTAAACACATCTCCTTCAGTAGGCTGTGCTCACAGTCTTCTGTACTCTGGCTCCAAGGACCACTTCTGGAGCCATCTTCTCTACAGACTTGCATAGCTTATGAATGAACTGTTCTGCTCTACTTGACATGTCCTAAAGTTACCTCCCACTTTTAGAGATTCATGTTCATCCTCATGCTATTCTCTCCTTTCTTTCAATTTCTCTCAATTCTTGTATGTTGCATATTTTTTCCAAATATTTTGTTGATTTTCTCAGTCAATACTAATCAAATTATTACATTCAATGAAAGGATGAAATGTTTGAATTTGTCAGGAGGTTATAAGTTCTATGAGGCCAGGCATCTTCCCTATTCAATCTTATACTCTCGTTATTAATAGCAACTGGATATCATGGTTTCCTGGAATATGCTTAAATATTATCCCAGCCTACTTTCCTAGCCTAAAGTCACACTATTTTCCAATATGGTATCAATTTGCCAGTTTACATGAGCCAAGCACAAATTCCCCCAGATGTAATTTTAATCTATGATTCTATATTTCACTTGATTATTGTAGTTTTCAGTTTTTTGTTTTTTTTTTTTTTTTGGTTTTTCTTTGGTACCGGGAACCAAACTCACGACCTTGCACTTGCTAGGCAGGCGCTTTGCCGCTGAGCTAAATCCCCAGCTATTGTAGTTTTCAGGATAAAAATCAAATTCCTTAGTTTAGCCCAACAATGTAGTTTTCTTATTCTTCAAGGTCTGGGCCCTGTCTATAGCTGTGGCTATCTATCCATCCACTCATTCATTTGCAGTCTGCATGCCAGTTCAGATAACCACTGAATTTTCTCTCAAATGTCTTATCTTTTTTTTTTTTCTGTCTTTACATGTACTTTTCTCTGTTTCTGGAATGTTTTTTCTTTTCTGTTCTTAATAGCTAGAGCTTACCCTTCGGGGCCTAGCACAAGTGTCAGAGCCTTTGAAGGTGTTCCGGAATCAGAGGTGATTACCTTTGCTTAAGTCCTTTTTCTACCTCCATGCTAATCATTGTGGTGTATAAAGTGGTTTGAAATAAGTTAGATACAAGTTACTTAAAGTCACCAGAAATGGTGTTTGATTTATAAAGAATCAATCATTCTCAAATGTAAGGATTCTCAGAATTACTGGAGGGGTTTTATACAATTCAGGTTGCCTGATTTCTCAGAGCTTCTGAGTTGAGACTTTTGGAGCAGGGCCTGAGAAGCTGCATTTTAAACAGGTTTCTAGGTGATGCTGACACAGCTAATGCAAGGACCTCATATCACAACCAGTGTCCAAAATAGTTAAGTCTGTCTTCAGCACACTTTCTGAATATAACAGGTGTTGAAACAAGTTCTTAATAATAAAAATTACATGCCTAGAAGCTTAAATAAATGAAAAAAATTTGAGTTCAGTCTCAATTATCTCACAGTCACTATAGGCATAGGTTGGGGCTAGGGATTTAGCTCAGCGGCACAGCGCCTGCCTGGCAAGCGCAAGATTGTGAGTTCGATTCCTGGTACCGGAAAAAAAAAAAAAAAAAAAAAAAAAACCAACCTAATTATAGGTATAGGTACAGCAATATAGGTTTACTTTAAAAACAATTTATTATATATCCCAGTGGGCAAAATAAAGCTCTTGTTCTTAAAACAGTACGGACATCAAATGAACACATGGAATCTTAAGCTTTGGACACTGGGCCAAACCTCACACCAGTGAGCTCAGATTCTGTGTGGGAACCCATAGAATAAGTTTGTTTTAAAAAAGAAATCCAGGTAATTTCTTTGTAAAAGCTGTTCTGGTACCAACTTCGGTGGACCCAGGAAAACTTCAATAATCTGCTTTTTACTCACATTGATGTAGTTAACTATCTATCCTATCCAGTGAGTTTTAATCAATCTTTTAGTTAAGCAAGGCATATAACATGAAAAGACAGAAAGAACTTCAGTGGTGACTACGTAATAAGTGCGAGGCATCTCTAAGGGGCCCGGGAATGATGGTTCTTGGTTTTAAACACCGCTGAAAGGAAGAACGGCTGAAGGCACCATTTACTGTGTCACTATAATTCTTCTTGAAATACTTTGCAAATGCTCATTACGTTTCCACACAGGTAATTTTAATTTCTTAAACCACTGCAAGAAAATGGAGCAGTGCCCCTGTGGGTAAGGTACACCAGGTGCCCTTGTGGGGAAGGCACCCCACTGTGTGTCTCCTAGAGGGTGGAATCCTGCTGGCAGCTGTGATAGGACAGTCTCTGTCTCCCACCTCTCCAGACAGTGCTTTGTCTTGACTATTGCTAGTGTGTCTTTAGACTTCAAATTGGCTAAGATTAGATATATCCAGTTACAGGAAAACTGAGCCTTTTCCAGCTTCAACAAAAATGATAAGGCTAAAATCCCAGCAGAAAGTCTCAGGGAAAAGAAAAAGCTTTTTAAAAAATTTAATCCATTCCCTTGCCTAATCTAAAGGAAAATCGAGAGAAACAAATAGATTTTAAAATCCAGTTTCATTTTACTCAACTATTATTATCACTCAACAAACATTTTTTGAGAGCATATACCAGACTAGAGTGCTGAGTTATGGTTGAGGGTAAAATTATATGTTAGACGAGATAAAGACCTGCTTCTGTCTTCAGATCTGTTGGAAAAGTCTGGTGCTTCTGGAGAGAAAGTTTCTTTGTTTAAATATGTGATAAAGTTTTGGCCATTATTAGTGTTGAAGGTAGTCTTATGAAAAGTGATTATTTACCATGTTAACAGTAAAGCGGACACTGAAAATACTGAAAGAAAAAATGATGGAAGTATCTGTTTTAGATCTAGTAGCACCTAAAAATCTCTGCAACAAGACTGCCCATAATCTCTTGACCTCTTGCAAGAAAAGAGGCAAAAATAAGCCAGACTTGGATTTGTTATTGTTAGTCCCTTTCAAAACATTATTTGCATAAAATACATGAAACAAAGGGGAGCCGCCATCTTCCCAAGCTCTGCTGTCTCAGTGAACCATTTTATCCGCATGTGGAGTCTTCTGACAGTGAAGGGACCTTCACATTTGGCAACCACATCTCTGAACCAGGTTTGTGGATTAGGTTGGGTGAATTAAAAATCATGTGATTAAAAGATTGAAAATAGTCTAGATGTACTTTAGCTGAATGCACTCATTGCACGGTGGAGGAAATGATGCTTAGAAATGGGCACTGACTGGTCCAAGCCGACATGAAGTTAATGGCACAGCTGTCATTGAGACTAAAGTCCCCTGACTTCTAAGAATGAGTTTCAGCCACTATTCAATACTGTCTTTAAAAATCTTCAAAAATCTAAGTTTTCTATATTTCATATGATTCAGTGGGAAAGGGTCCTTAAGTGTACACGCTCTGTTTTGCATCTGAGGAGTCTCCTTTCAGAGCTGTCCTGCTTGCCTGCTGGAAGTGCGGATTAACCTGACTGTCAGGCCATGTTCAACCCTGCATCCTGTTCCTGAGACTCATGAAGGTCCCCCTGAAACTCACCTCCAGAGCAGTCATGTTGTTCTGGTTGGCAGCAGATAAGCGATTTGCTTCTCTGATTTTATCTGTGGCGTCTCTCAACAGGTCCCAAGCGTCATCAAGTTTGTCGTTGTAGTCAGCCAGTTTCTCCTGGAGATCTTTCTCCATTCCTTCATTTTTGAGCCTAGGCTCTCCAAACAGCTTGTTCACTCTCATCAGCAGACCCTCCGAAGCTCTACAAACCCCCGGCCCAAGCACAGACAGTGTCACCACCCTGGGTTTACTGATAGTTAGCTGTGCTACAGAGAGATACTAAAAGCAAAGAGGTTAAAATAGAAAAATGGAGCAGGGAAAGCAGCTTAACTCTGCAGTTAACCTAGCTGAAAACTGGCTTCTGAAAGTGGTAAACAGTTTTTAATTTAAATGAATGCAAGATGCCTCATCGTTCAAAATTGTTATAACATTGTTAATCCAAAGGCATTCACATCATTTTCCTAATGTGATAGATGAAATGAGTTGTATGATTCACTTCACATTGTACAGTGAAGGAGCCCTTGTTTCACCAAAATCAGACATTTTCTCCATGACTTTGAATGTAAGGGGTCAATATTGACATATTTGCTTAGAAACTGTCCACAGAGCTCTGTATTTTTTTTCTAATTAGTATAATAACTTTTCTGATTTACTTCTCTTTTTTTCCCCAACTGAGTGATCTGGGAGTTCAGTGAGTTTAACTTTCTTATATTTCCTAAAATAATAATGTATAGGATGGGCTGGTCAAGTAATAATTTATCCAAAGGTGGTCTTATTAAAACAGAAATCTACTGGTAGTTTAAAAATCCTGGATATAAATAATTAATACAGCAAGCCCATTGGGCTAACTCTATAAAAGAAACCACCAAAAAGATCACTTAGTTGATTATTTTTTATATAGGCAAAAACTACACTTTTCATTCCCTTTAGAGCAAGGTAAGGTATAATTAAATAAGTAAATGACAAATAAAGAAATGGCGAGCATCTCCATAGCAGAAAAACAAAGTATCTTCTGATTACAAGTGTGATGGGACTTTAGAAAGTCATAACTAATTTCCAAAGCTCAGTTTACCAAATGAAAAATATTAGTGAGTCTACTCACACTAACTCGTCTTCTGCAACTTCTTTTTGTGTATCTAGATTTTTCCTTCTCAGTTCATTCATCATCTGATCGATTTCTTTCTGAAGCTCTTGCAAATTTCTGTCGAAGTCCTCGTCTTGCATTCCTAGAGTTTCATTTAGTTTCACAGCTTTTTCATTCACACCTGCAAGGGGTAAAACAAATTTCTGTAAGTGAGTAAACAAAAGTGTCACCAGCAAAAATGGCATTCAACATCTGCTCTTTACCACCATTCCCTAAAGAAATGTAATTTTCCAGGGGTATTCCTGCTGGGAAGTAGAGAGACAACTGCTAGGACAGCCAGTAACCGTGAAGAGAATGGGACATCATTCTCCACATTAGATTTCTTGTCGGGGGTCATTAAGTACAGTGTTCTCAACCTGAAGAGGAAGAAAAACAAAGCAGGTCAAACCCTCTTCAGATAAGTAAAAATGAGATGTGTAGTATAGCACTTGAAAGCTGAAAAACCAAGATCTGCGCTGCTGATGAGATGGTTATGTTCAGCCAGTTTTAAACTACTGAATCTGCAAAGGCGACTAGCACTGTAGTCTCTGAACGTGAAGCTGCTTGTGCATTTCCACAGAGTTTTCTTGCATTTTTTTAAAAGAAGTCAAGAAAGAAGCCCTCGTCCAGTGACAAGAGTTATAGGTCAGCCCTCAAGGGTCCCTTCCAGCGCTAACATCCATCCTGGGAGTCTATGTTTATTATGCATTAAATGGGGTTTCAATCTGTGCTCTTTGGAATATTAGGATTCTCCAGGTACTTCAGGTGTTCTACAAATGATGTCTGTCCTGCCAAAAATCTGCTTTATAGGTTGGTGTTCAGGGCAAAATTTCATTTGGAAAAAGAATGCTATGTCAAATAAAAGTTTAAAAAATTGGTGAATTGGAACATTTACACAGTCGTTGCCATTAGTTTTAGGTGAAAGTTTTCAGAAATGTGTGCCATGGAACATTACTTTGGTGAGTTGAAAGGAAATATTTTTTCAAAAGCTTTTGTCTGCTGAATACTCATTTCTATAATATCACCTACAAAAAGCCCCAGAATAAGCACTCTGGGTTGGTCAAGAGATATTTCCTACCATTGAAAGGGGCATCTGAAGACTTCTTCAGGACATACTAAATCTTGAACATTTGGTGCAAATCAGAGCTGTCTCTCTGAAAATGAACACTCCAGACTGATTTTGTCGTGAAGAAGTCTTCAGACGCTCCTGTAATTGGTAGGCACTGTCCCTTAGCCAACCTGAGCATTCAGCCCGAGTGGAAAGGGAAGTGGTTAGTGAACATAGAGATTCTGAATGGGGTCCCCCACCAGGCAGCAGCAGAATCACCCTGAAACTTGTTAGAAATGTAGGTTCCCAGGCCTTGCCACAGACCTATGGAGTCAAACATTCTAGATGTAGGGGACCAGTAAGCTGGCATGTTAAACAAGCCCTGCTGGAACTTTCGACACATGTTGAAGTGTGAGGAATCCTATGCAGGTAGAAGGAATTGAGTTCCAATCTCTAATCTACACTTTCCAAAATGCATTTTTATAATCCTCTTTCCCTTTAAAAAAATGTCTTTTGTAAGAAATTGGTTTTTGTAAGGGGAACCTTATTCCAGATAGCATTGCTATAAACTAAGTGTTGAAAATCGCCTCAAATTCTTATGTTGAAACCTAATTTCTAATGGGATGGTATTAAGAGGTGGGGCCTTTGAGTGGTGATTATATCAGGAGGGAGGAAGGAGGCAATGTCCTTATTCAGGAGATGCAGAGGACACCGTTGGCCTTTCCACCGTGTGAGTGAGAAGACAGTGATTCAGGAACCAGGAATCACTCCTCAGACTCCAACTGTGTGGTTGACATAATCTTGCAATTCTCAACTTCCTGAAGGGTAAGAAATAAATTTCTGCTGTTTACAAGCCAGTGAGTCAATAATATTTGGTCATAGTATCCCAAACATACTGAGACAGACATAGATCAATTTCAGAAAAATCTGAATCACATTTTTTTGGGGTTTTTTTTTTTTCTGGTACCAGGAATCGATCTCATGACCTTGTGCTTGCCAGGCAGGCACTGTGCCGCTGAGCTAAATCCCCAGCCCCTGAATCACATGTTTTAAAAAACAGATGTGGCCATTCCCTAGCTCTGTGCTAGCATTGTCTCTCAGCTGCTCTATTCCTAGAAATTAGTGAGGATGACCATTTCTTGGTTTACTCCTTAATAGTCATAGCTTAACATATGCCACAGGACATTCTACCGCGATTGCTAGCAAGGTGTCACCCAGGATGCTATTGCTAGCAAGGTGTCACCCAGGATGCACCATCTGTGTTATCGCCACAGTGACCATGGATGAACCTGAAAGCTCCCTGGTTGTGTAGACCATGCAGGAAACATGCCAGAGTTCTGATGATTAAATTTAAGAAGGTTTCTGTTTTTAAAATGTTAAGAAAAGTAGTACCTGCAGTAGATTTGACTGTATTTATGACACAGCCTTTGTCTGAGCGCATGACAGTTGGTATAGTTGATTTAAGTCAGCTGTACTACAGAACCACAAGTACCACGTGTGTTAACTTTTAAGAAAATGACAGTGATAAATCCTACTTCTGAGCCTGCCAAAGCCACATTTTCCTTTATTAAATGGATGTATAAATAATAAAATATGTTTTGATACAGGATTTTCTTTTGAAATTTAATCCCATTTAGGTTCATGGCCCAAGCAGGAGGAACATGAGATACAATTTCACTCCTTCTCCTGTGGCCAAATCTCAAAGCTAAACTCAGGCAGAGAAGAATTTAATGGAAAAGGGACAACAAAAGAGAGGGAAGGTAAAGGCAGATGTAGCTGCATCTCTTGGAATGCACAGGTCATTTCTCTTAAGTTAAAACAACAGTAAAGAAATAAAGAAATTAACAGGATACACAGATAGGATTGTAGCAAAATGATGCTGTAATAAGAAACACAATATCATCGTAATAGAAGGTTTATTGCTCTACTGAATATACAATAGATGGGACTGAAACTTCTTCACATGTGTACATTGTCATTTCAATATGTTCTCTAAAGTACTAAAAATAATTATAAAACAAATACATCCTTTGAATTTGCTTATTTATTTCTATCTTCTATAGAGGATTTTAAGCCAATTAAAATATTTTTAAAATAAGATAAATTTAAAATAAAACACAGTAGAGACAAAGAAAATAATTAATGTGAGTCAAGGAAAGTATGACCACCCTGAAAGGCGTGGCACGAGGCTCCTGCAGCAGCATGGACCCCTCTGCAGCCGGGCACAGGAGAGCTAATGCTCACAGGGCATTCGCGTGAGGTGCGCAATAGTCACAAAATACAAAGGAGCTAGTTCCTCCAAAGTTCCAAAAAAAAATTTTTTTTTAATATTAAGCTCAAGAGAGAAAATTCTCTGAGAGGTAATATTTTATCAAGAATGAAAAATGCTAGTAGGACCTGAGACAACAAAGGAAGCTGTTTAGCATTAATTAAATCTTATTATATGTCCGGACATAGACACTAATGGGGTCTGTCTCTGTCTCCTTGTTATACGGATAATGCATAGAGTAAATATGGCATATTCATCATGTAAACAAGAGTAGTAGCAGAGTTGATATTATAAAATTATAGTGAGTTAAGAATACCTTAGATGAATAGAAGTTGATTTTCTATAAAGGGGTCATGACTTCTAATGGAAGACAGGATGGGTAATCTATCTGTCTAAACAGAAAACTGCAGTAGACACCTATCAGGCTGAGGTGTTCATTTTTCTATAGCATTCATTACCACTAATAATATGTGAAAGTACAGATGACTATTTGGAGAAAGAGAGAGAGAGAGAGAGAGAGAGAGAGAGAGAGAGAGAGAGGTGTCCAAAGCTTTTGGTGACATCTCTCCTCCCCTCCGTCTTCCCCCATCCTCTCCATTGTTCCCTGCTTCCTCTCTTCTTTCCTTTCTTTCCTTCCCTTGTTTCTCTCCTGTATCCTAATCTGCCAACCCTTGTAATCTACCCAAGTGAGAATCTAGTGCAGCTCTGATATATTTACACTTGAACTTTCAATATTAACAACTGCATACATTCCGCCAAATAGCGCTGCCAAAAAAGTGACTAGTGTTTCTATTTCTCTCAGGCATAGCTATCACCTACGGCACTTCACATAGGCTTTAAAAAGATGGTCTATTTAGATAGACGCAATCAGGTCACCTGAGCAATGTACGCCTTAGGAAATAGAACTTTGGTGAAAAGGCAACCCTTGTCTGGTGTATGGAGAAGAGAATGTGGACCATAAGCAAAGCCTGGGGTAAATGTCATCTCTACTCTGCCCACATTGGTGCCTTTGTGTGATGCTCAGTTTCACAATGGTAGCCAGAGACCTTAGACAACCAACAAACAAGGTTGCCACCAACTAAAGGAGTCACCATGGATCTGTGTCTCTAGACGCTGGAAAGGGAAAACTCAATGCAGAGAAGAAAATAAGGGGTGCTGATATTGGAATCTATTAAAACACATATTAGCATTTATTCTCATACACCATATTTAATTGAAACTATTTTAAAAGGAGTCACTTGGATAGATTTGTACTGAGTGCTGGAGAGTTCAGACAGAAGGAATGGAACGTTCCTGGAGCACAGACTGGTGCTTCGAGGATCCCCATGGAGGGCGACTATCCTGCCTGCCATGGGATTTGGTGCTGTTAGGGGTAGTGCTTTGGGGAATGAGGGAAGCTTTTCCAGTAGCATTAACAGAAAATAATAGCAGGGAAAGTGTGATAATTTCATCTACCAGATGAAAAAACCACCCTGAGTTAATGGAGTTTGTTAGAAGTAACTTCCCTTTCAGATTTTGATGTTTTGCCTGAGGAGTTCATTCTAGAAGTAACTTCTCTTTCACATCCTGATGTTTTGCCTGACGTCATGCCTCAGATTTAAACTCAATTTTTTTTTACATTGGGGAATCTTTGGGAATCTTGGTCAGTGATGTTTAAAAATTACCAGTCAGGATTCTCCCTGAAGGTTTGCTCAGATCTTTATTTATCTGACTACATTACAAAGTAAAATATCTAACAGGCATAACATTGTAGAACAATTAAGTGTTTTATTTTTAAATGAGAAAGAAAGCCACTTTTTAATTTCTTAACTTTGCATGTTTGTTTATCACACATTAGTAGATACTTAAGAGCTACTTTTTCTGCATGAGGGGGGCAGCATATGTTTTCAGTAAAAGCTCCTATCTGGGCTTTTGCCCAAAATGGATTCCACTTTAATCCTCGGCCATACTGTTAGATGCCAAGAACGAACTCCTCAGGAATTGCAGGCAGAGCACAGGGAACTTCTGATAAAGTAGCACTTCCAAATCCCGAGCACCAGATGTTCATTAAAATAGCAAGTACCCGAAAGGCCATTTTGAGAAATTAAAGTGCTGCTTTCTTGTACTGAGTGCAGTCATAAAATAAGCTTTTAAAAAAAAAAATTAAAAATCTTTTAAATAGTTTTGACTACACAAAGTAGCAAAGCATAGGTTTCCTCTGAGTTTTTGAACATAATAGCCACTCTTCAGAAAGTCACTGCTATTCTGCTTTCGAAATCACTGACTCACCAACTGTTATCATTCACCGAACACTGCAGGTCGTAGGTGCTCAGTAGACTGTGCTGTTGAATATCTGAACCAAAATACATTTTAAATACACAACCCTTGAATTTAGAAGTGTCACCTCTCAGAAGAGAAATTCCAGTTCTGTCTAATGTCTTTCTCTACTTTTCTGTTGGGAGAAATAATGATTAAAATGTGATTTTTCTAATACCTTCTGCATCCCGGACAAGCTCCTTAATGAATTCTCCTAAGGACTTTGCTCTTGTGTTTGTCCTCTCGGCATCCTGTCCAGTTTGCTCGCCATCTGCTGTCATTTTGGTGGCCTAATGATCCAAATTTGGGAAAAGCATAATTAATAGAGATGATGAAGCCACAGCTATACGAGTTCCCACTGGTTTCATTTTCTTTCAAATTTCCCTTTGAGCCAAAAGCAATCAATGAATTATTGATCAGATGTACTGGAAATGATACCCCGTGCTCAAGTATACAATTAAACTTTATTACTTCTTCCATTAAGTGGAAATCAGAAAGCTGTATTTGGTCCTCTTAAACTCCTCGTTATACGCAATAGCACAGAAGAAGTGATAAAGCACAATTATTTTTCAAATATCTTTAAGATACGATTGCCAGAAGTCTTTAATGAAATCTTCAGCCTCCACATGTTGCAATTTTTCCCATATATATATGTATATATATATATTTACTGAAAACATGTGGAGTGTAGAAATGTTCTCTGTAGGGAGGAACAGGCAGTATGTCTCAATAAGCATGGGCCTATAGATTCAGTTTAGATCAATACATTAATTAAAGAAACAAAGAGGGGGGAGTACTTAGCTACTCAGTAGTAAATATGTGTTTTATAACATTTCAAAGACGCCAGTAAAACATTAAAGAGGATAAATGCTAATTTTCCCATATGATATCACCAGAAATATGTCCACCAGTCATTCAACATATACCAGTGTCAACAAAATAAAACAGAATCCCCAAACAGACTCACCTCCCAAAGAATATCCTCATAGGCACTTTTGTTCATGTTGAAAATACCTTTTGACATAACACAATGCATTTAATGTGTTCATGGTTAAGAGAGAGGATAGTCAAACACAAATGGTGTGTATAATGTTATGCTTTTTTAAAAGCTTCTAGCTGGGGATACAGGTCAGCTGAATAAGCGACTGCCTGGCAAGTGCAAGGTCCTCAGTGTGATTCCTGGTACCAAAAAAAAAAAAAAAAAAAAAAAAGAATTTGCAACACAGAGGTGTGTTCACTTATGTGAACAATGGAACTTCTCTTTTACCCAAAGAATGTCAATAATCTAACTACAGATAATGAATCAGAATGAAAGTGCCTCAATAAAATTTTCAATGAGAGGGGCTGGGGATTTAGCTCAGTGGCAAAGCGCCTGCCTGCCTGGCAAGCGCAAGGTCGTGAGTTCGGTTCCTGGTACCGGAGAAAAACCAAAAACCAAAAAAAAAAAAAAAAAAAAAAAAATTTTCAATGAGGTCCAAGCTGGCAGTATATTAATATCTTGTAGCAGAATACTAGCATTCTAGGTATGATGAGAGAATTAATTTTTGTACATATACATAAGTGGATTTTAAATAGAACTATCTGGCCAGCACAGAAAATGGCAAGGGATGCTACAGGTGGTTTTTTTTTTTTTTTTTTTTTTTTCCTCCGGTACCGGGAACCGAACTCACGACGTTGCGCTTGCCAGGCAGGCGCTTTTGGCGCTGAGCTAAATCCCCAGCCCCTACAGGTAGTTTTTATTTGTTTGTTTGTTTGTTTTTGTGTGTGTGTTTTGGTTTGTTTTGGTATTTTTGAGTCAGGGTCTCTCACTATGCAGTTCAGGCTGGCCTTCAGCTCACTTGCTAGCCCAGGATGGTCTCGATCTTGCAATAATCCTCCTGCCTCAGCCTCCTGAGTGTTGGGATTATAGGTGTGTGCCACCACGCCTGGCTAAGAGATGCTACAGGAATTCCTATGCATTTTGTGATTTCCCAGGGGGCAGCAAGAGGTTTAATTCATTACAGTTTTCCAGATTTTTAAATAAAGGACACAATATAAAGTTCATTATTATCATCTAATCTCTCAGGCTCTAAGTGTTACCATGACAAACCAAATCATTGAAAGAGAAGGAGCCCTTGAAAAAAGTCTTAAAATTCCTTTTTACAGTTCACAGTACATACACAATGATTTAGAGCCTATTAATCAACATATTTCAATGCTCGAGAAACATTTCTACAGTATTACTAATAGAATTATTTTTGTTTTTAGACTTTTAAAAATTTTTTTTGGAAGTAAACTCTGCATGGAGTTCCCAAGTTGCTTAAGCCCTTAATTTTGGTGTTGGTGTCACAAGTGTGCCAGAAGAATTTCTGTAAGCTTCGCTCCTCACACACATTTGCATTCATGGCTCAGATGGGTCAAATAGCTTTACACACACACACACTTAAAGTATAGTCTCCTTGTAAATTTTACTTTTGAATAACTGAGTTTAACTCCCTTAAGATGCTGTCAGTATGAACTTCCTTAAGTATGTCTTTAATCTAAATGTCAGTGTGTTCTCTAATATTTCCTATTTTCACTTATGGAGCATCATGATAAGGAACTTGATATCTAATGTATTCTTCCTCCAGTATCTTAGGAATTAATAGGTCACCAGCACCAGTACCTCTTATACTACAGAAAAATGAACATTACAGCCTGAATTTAAATCTTACTTTTTGCTTTATTATTTCCTTTCCTATATTCCAAAATGATCATTATTTAATAAACATTGACATTATCAAGCTTATTAATTTTTACTAATAACTCAAAACATCTTTTTTTTAAAAAAGTAGCTATGTAGTAATATATTGCCTCATATTCTACATTATCAAGATCATATTCATTATCTTGTCTTCTCCTCTAGTATTTGCGTAGTAATGAGCAAAGGTCAACATTAACAAATATTTTACTCTTAGTACCAATTATACAGGTACTCCAGTATGAAAATGTCAAGAACCCTGCAACCTATGATAAAAAACAGAAAAGCTCTGTTCAATCAATCTTTCTGTGTTTTTTTAATAGTATATTAAACATACCAAGCTTTTCCCTTCCTAGGGCTTTTTTGTATTGTGTTGTCTTTTTCTAGAATGACTTTCTCCTTAAGACTTCCAGCTATGTGACCTTTATCACTCTTCAGCTTTCAACTAAAGTGTCCCTTCTTGGTGTGGCCTGGGTGCCTATCTAGGTCTCCACATCTACTGCACCAGAACATTTCCTTCAAAAGTGTGTCATCATGCATTTGGAAGTTACGGAAGTCAATAACTTGTTTATCTAAACTAAATAAGCAGTCACCTAATTTCTCAACTTATAAGTGCCACCATCACGAATAAAAAATGAAAAATAAGGACTCCTGTGACTCATCTGTTTATTGACTACCTCCCCAACCAGCAGGTACCCTGTAAGAGGGGAAGAAGTTGCTCTGCTTTGATGGTCCTTCTCACAGTAAGATGCTGCCCTTACAGCAAATGTTCTTTAAATGTGAAATCAGTGACCAGGCAAGAGCTTTCCTAACAAATCTTGCCATATTACTGTTCTTGCCTACTGTTCTTTCTTAGAAAAAGATTCTGCTTATGTTATTTATTGTTAACTTCACTTATCCAAAATGAAGCCGGCCTTTGAGAGTCAGTGCAGCTCCACCGTCTCTGTGAAGTCGTCCTTGCCTGTCCTTTCCTAGATTCGTGCTATCACTGCCACCCTTCAGGACTACAGTGGGCTGTGCCTCTGTTATGTGCTTTGCCATCATTACCTAAACCCATCCTTGGAGCCTGTGACTATATCTTATCTCTCTTTATTCCTCGGAGTGCCGGCACAATGCTTGGTAAACTGGAGGGGATCGAAGATGTTGGGTAATTGGCTGTTGTAAAGAAACCGACTCTTCCTTTGAAGTTCCAAACCTTGCTGGAGGACTCCCAATGCCATTCAAACCGACCATATGCCTAGCGCTGTGCTTGCCAGCAAATGTGGATCACTGAGCAGTTTTCCGAGCCTTTCTCAGACCTTCAGAGGAAACCACTGCTCAAGAGCTGCAGCTGAGCACTTGGGAGGACAGCTGGGCATGAAGACCGGCAGTCCCAGCGGCCTGCATTCTAGCGACTGGACTGACAGTAATTCAAAACAGGGCCTGCGACTGCACACCAAGTTCCAGGACGGCGGGGACAGGAGACATGGAGGTGGCCAGATCTCTTCAGAGCCAGCGTCGGGCTTGTGAAGGAAGATCCCCTTCCTCTGCACAGACAAAAATTTCCTGTCCTGGCTACATTCCAGGACAGGAAGAGCTGTGAGTTTCCTGGCACCGATAACCCTGGCTTATGCGGTTTAGCAGTCTGGAAGATGGAATACAGTCAGACCTAGCTGTACCCTGGGTTGATACTCACATTGGGAAGGGTTTGCAACACTTTCTTGTATCTCATTTGCCCTTCCTGCCTTTATAGATAGATGGAGGGCATAAAAGGAGGATATGGGAAGGTTAAATAACTTATGTCTTATTTATACTGAGTATTATTTTGCTTGCTAACATTCAAGAAGAGTAGGATGGTACATAAAACATGAAGAGGACATTCTCCCATGGAGTTCGTTAAGTGTAGGTATAAGCTGTAGCTTTTGGTACACTAACACATTTCAGAGCCCACAACAGAACATAACCTGGGTATATTTTGGGAAGTCAGGTCTCATGATACAGTAGTTGAGCTGCAGAGTTGCCTTTGGTAAAACCAGACTCCATAAATTAGGAATCATGAGACATGCTCTATGATACCAAGCTTTCAGCGATAGCAAACAGCCCGCTGCGGCACGCACGCCATAGGCGCGTCGCCACTGATCTACGGGTGCTGGTGGGTGAGAGTGGTGTCATTGCGGCACCATATAAAAGTGAAACTCATGAGAAGCCAGTTCACCTAGGACAGGGTATGGACAACGTCACAGATGAACGCTGCACACAACCAGATAAAAGCTCTCTTTCGGATTCAGTCTGGCTCTTTCTGCTTTACGGAATCACTTTGCCATCTCTTAGTCATCCTCCCTTTCCTTCACTATTATCCTGTCCTTTGAGTAGTTGACAAACACATTCTCATTTATTCTAATGTGTGGGACAATCTTCCTTTCATTCTCTTTGCTTTTCTTGTTTTTCTATCCTCTTGCTTCGGTCCAATCTTCCCGGCGTTACTTTGCAAATGCTACTTTACACAGTGTCTTATATGTATTTCTCTTACCTCTGATTACCTTTCTTTCCTAACGTGTGATTTGCTCAATTATATTTTCTTTTACTTTTCTC